CAAAAAATGTTTAAAGAGAAAAATTTTAAGCAACACAATATTTGTTTTATATATAAAATTATTTTAAATAGGTGCGATATTCTTGTCATCTAAAACATACAACGTTATATTAATTATCCTAAAGGTTTACGTCAGCACACATAAATTACACACTAATTAGCTACTTGATGATTCTAAATTACGTATTAAGTTTGAATTCAGTTGAGAATGTAATGAAGTATGTTACCTCTATTATGGGTTCATATCGTGTTAGGTGTGCAATTTAACAGGTATCACGAAATCGCATTAATTGCGGCGTTCGGAACGCTCGAGAATTCCTTCTCCAACTATATGGGACTAAATTTGCGTGCCTCTTCTCCCTATGCGATTATCATCCTCGTCCGTCACACTTTCGTTATATCGTCGCGAGCGTAGCAGGGAGATAAATTTCACGCCGTTATTAAGGGACGCCCTCGAGACCGAAGTGTCTCATGGCTTCGCATCTGGCAAGGATAATGTTTCCCGTCGACGACCCTTCCTACACAGCAAGAACTTCCTAGCATTTCTGTGTAAAAAGGCAAGTTCGATGTTACAAATTACACGTTGATGTAATTTGTATTAAACGACGCCGTTGGAGTTTCCATAAAACTTTGATAATCTGTTGAAAATACAAATACTATTGTATATTTTTAGGAAAGATAAAAATAAAAATCTATAAAAAAATTAATTATATTTACAAAATGCAAGAAAAAGAGCTTTATTGAAAAAAAAAGTTTTAATAAAAAATCTCTCGTGAAAACTGATTTTATTACGACGCGACATTTATCTCATTTTATTTGCACGATTATATTACATACTGTGGTGCGCTATGCTTATTTCATTTCGTTTCTATCACGAATCCTGCTAAAACTGTCTTGTATGCCGTTGTACGTAGGATAATCGCGTTTCACTTGGAGATTGTCTCGCTGTGTGAGTATTAAACGCATTTATTAACACAGCGTTTGCGTAGAAAGCACGGCTCGGGCGACGTATACATACTATATATTCCCTTGTACCACGTGGCCACGTGGAAATTCCATTAACCGCCAGGGCAAACTCGGCAAATTCGTCGCGACGATCCCCTAACTTTGCCATCATCGCCAATCGACATGCAGCTAACCTAATCGAGGCCGCCGCTTTAAGTTTCTCCCGACCGAGGCTGGGGATTCGTCCGAAGCTAATTAAGAAATTGATAGAGCGATATCTACCACGCGGACAAAACGTCAAAATTTGCCATTCGGTCACAGAAAAAAAGGAATCCTTGATTCAAGTATATTTTTATTTTCGAACGCTATTTGATTGATTTAAGCACAGAATGCTCTTATAATCACAAATTTTCATTTTTTCTCTTAATAATAAATAAGTTTGTGTGAAGTATATTTTATCCTTAAGATATATTCTTCTTTTAAAAATCATTATATAGTAAAAACAAACTTAGTCACATTTGAATTAAGAATTATATCGCTTATATCCGATGCTTGTCCTTGCAATACTTATAAGTAAATTTCAGCTTCAACCAAGAATATTTTGCACTTTATTTTAAGGATAAATTATCCTTTATAAATTATTTATATTTGGCGCTATTATAAGGATAAAATATACTTGAATCGAGGCATATTTGCATTCTTTCAAGGATACTGTTTTTTCTGTGATGTTTTGTAGGAAAACTATCGTGTATATGTGACATTTACCCCATTTAATATTAAGTGCGCGATCGCACATTTTCATAAAATATATATTATATCAAAAATATTGCACAATTTTGTATTAATATTACTATAGTATATCACAGAAAAAAAGGAATCCTTGATTCAAGTATATTTTTATTCTCGAACGCTATTTGATTGATTTAAGCATAGAATGCTCTTTGTAATCACAAATTTTCATTCGCCTTAATAATAAATAAGTTTGTGTGAAGTATATTTTATCCTTAAGATTATATTCTTGTTTTAAAAATCATTATATAGTAAAAACAAACTTAGTCACATTTGAATTAAGAATTATATTGCTTATATCCGATGCAATACTTATAAGTAAATTTCAGCTTCAACCAAGAATATTTTGCACTTTGTTTTAAGGATAAATTATCCTTCATCCAAAATTATTTATATTTGGCGCTATTATAAGGATAAAATATACTTGAATCAAGACATATTTGCATTCTTTTAAGGATACTGTTGTGGCGATTACATCGTCACATACTTCCCTGAGATTAATAAGGAAAACACGCATACGAATACGAACACTGACATATACGAAAAGGACAAAGGCACAAGTAAATATAAATAAAATATTACAGACGAGACGAAAGACGAGTAGGACAGAAACGAAGAAATAAAAATAGATGGAAAATTCGCGAAGCCTCTCGAAGCCTAGCGAAGGGCGTTTTAGGAGGCAAGGTATAAATAGGAGATTTTTGAGATAACGATATACCGTCTTCGATAGTCGCCGCGCACGGACGCATCACGTTTGTAATCCGAGCGATATATCTATCTGTATTCACGCGTACCATTTTGCCTTGAAGAATATATTTAGTTAAGTACAATCATTGCATAACTTTAATTAATTCCCGCATCGTTCCTCCTAAGCACTCGCGACGCGCGAAAGAGACGCTAAACTGTTTTTTCTTAAATTAACTTTATTATTATACTATGCCATTAACTTTAGAGCGCTTTCCGTAGACCGCGATGAATCGATAATATCGAAGCGGGCGAACTGGGAGAGAAATGATGCGCACGTGGCGCGGACTCGCAAGAATTTCGCGGTCGAAGAGAGGGTGCAAGAGACGAGACATCGAGCGACATCGCTCTCGCGTGCCCGCGCATGTCCTAAAATCGCATTAACCGGCACCAGTAACTCCGTAAATTCGTCGTCGGGTCGGCGTCCGGAATCGGTCTTCCACAACTCTCGGTCGGGCACCCTGATTCTCAACTCTCTCAAACTTGGCACCGTGTCTGCGCACCACATAGTCGGCTTTCGCCGAAACTCGATGCTTTTAGCAAGAATACGGACTTCGACGACGACGACGTCGACGTCGATACACGCCACCGATACGGCGTTAATTACGCGCGCCTTCTCAATCGTCTCGCACGTTCTCGCAATTTATCATTCAATTAATCAGCGTCGGTATAATTGAGCATATATAATATCGTTATTAGCTTCGGGTTATTAATATAATTCAATTACGCGAGGGAAACTTTTCGTGATAAATATCTGCGATCTAGAAATAAGAGAAGCGAGCGAGCTTCTTCTGTAGCTTGTGAAATTTAGGATTAATATTTGAAGGGTATTAGTAAATAAAATTGTTTCGGAATATCAAGTTTTCAACTCTTCAAAATCTTTCAGTTTTTACATCACTCGGTTAAAATCGAGTTTAAATTTTTCTCGAAGAGAGAGTCGCTTCCAAAATCGAAAAAGACACTATGTTTCAAGTTAACTTTCTTCGACACTTTTCAAGATATCCACTGCAAAAAAAGAGATAGGAAAGAAAGAAGACGACAAGATACAGTTCCGGTTTTTCAAGTTTCTCGCGAGTTGAAAACAATTCTCGTACTCTGGCTCGTGAAGTTTTTATGTATTATTCCCGAAGGAAATGGCACTTCGCGTCAGCATTTTTGTGAGGAACGGCCGATGAGTGCATAGCATCGGTGAATTTTCTGGTTATGCCTGGTTGAGCATTGGTGCGACAACAAAACGTTTAACGGGCTTCCGAAGCTTCCGAGGGAAAAGTCTTGTTTCTCGAGATTGAACGGAAATTGTAGAAAGAGGGGTGACATGGGAAAGTCACGATTTCCTTCGTCACCGGCGCCGTAATCGTCTATTGTTTCTTGTTGCATCTTGTGCGATCGAGTAAAATGAAGAAATATTGAGATACAAAATGACATTCAGAATTTAAAAATTATTGTAACATGAAATTTTATGTACTAAATTTCAATATATGATAGATCACGCTGTAGTTATTATTCATAAGATAATAAAAACTGTTTTTAAATATTAATAATATAATCGCAATATGCACAAAACAATAAGAATCAAAACTGAAAAACTCTTTGTTTTGAAAAAAAAAAAAAAAAAAATCTGATTGTTTCGTTCTCATGTTAGACTTGGACTCTAAAGTGCAAGGCGCAATTTTCATTGTTCTTATAAACCGATCGCTTATTAAAGATATTTCGGTAATTAACGCAATTATTTTTCTCTTCCTCTCTTGGCGTTCCATTCGACCGAACTAGACTACTCGAGGCATCGAACTCACAATCGGCTTCTCTCCTTTCTCTTCCTTTTCGCGAATTCACCTCTATTGCTGAGCGTGTATTTTATTTCCCAACAATTTCCGGAGCGGTCCATTAATTTCCGTCTAAATTAAGTTTGCGCGATACCCAACTATTCACTAACTATTAATTTAGGCTGCAATGTAGCAGAAGACGGACGAATATTTTTTAATCATTTTTAATAGTTTTGCACAATTTTTTCGAGTTATATTAGAATGAAAAATTACTATTTATGGAGTTATTCGTCAACATCATGAAATATAGGTAGTTTGTAATTGATGCAATTTTTACTCGAAAAATGATGATTCTCATTTTTTATTTAAAATTGACCTGTATATAAAATTATTTAAAATTTCATGTTCGTGAAGTACGAGCTTCTTTTATTTAAATATAAAAATTAATGAAGGAATACTTTTGTATCAAAGGTATAGAAATAAAGTTTTACGACAGTTTAGAGACTGATTTTTTTCGACAACGTAAAAAATGCATACATATATAGTTTGTCAATCGTTTCGACCTTTTTAAGATTCCCGGAATCTGCAAGTTCGCGCGGTCACTTCCGTCCTTTTTGCGCAATCCCATGAAACACCTCCGGTGTCGTAAACTTTCGAGAAAGTCGACGACTCGAGGGAGTCGTTGTTTATCCACTTTTCGCGATGCTGTCTTTGGTTTGGTGTTGAGTATCGAGTATCTCTCGAATTGATCGATGACATCGGCATACTGAGTACATGCCAAAGACTGTGAAAATCTAAGTGAGTAAGAAAGAACGAAGAAGTTTAAAATGATCAAATTTTTTTAAAAATTGTCTTTGTAAAATATATTTTTATTTATATTACTGGGACATTTTAAATGTAATAACATCAGAAGTTGTAACAGAATATTCATTGTTAAAGATGATTTAATTAATTTATCTAGCTATTTTGATAAAGGGTATTTATTTCCTTATAATAATAATAGCATTTGCTGAGAAACAAATAATAAAAATGAGAATAAATAATCATTTTAATCTTTTATTTAATATCGTTAATCAAATATTGCAAAGAGAGCGTGTGTGTTTTTCTTTGGGATCTGTATTTATATCGTTTCCGCGACTGTTATTATTTTTCATAAAATCTATAATATTTATCTGTTATAAATCTCGATGAAAATTTCGCAACGTTTGTCGATAGACAAACTATCGCTTCTCTATCTGCCACTATCAGTTTCCATCGGAGAAGAATCGAAGCTATGGAATGTCCATCGAGGGTTGAATCGATACGCATTGCGTTCCGCAATAAAGTGTCGGGGTCGATAGATCTCGGCAGTTGCATTCGATTTAAACGCTGTTAGCGACATTAAATGCGTATCGCGCTTGTTTCGCGACGTGACATCAAAGGTACGAGAGGGCGTCTCTCGTTGGAGGGTGTACCAGCAATCGCTCTCTGCGATCAGCACTGATTTTACGGCTGCCAGGAAATTTCTGTTACCTACCCACGTGACACTTTATTGTTGCGAAACGTGTTTCGTTGTCCGTTTGTCTTGCACAATCCGGGAACATTTGAAAGGCAAAATGCAAATTTTCTAATTAAAATACATCGCTCGAATTGTTGTAGCTCGCGAATGGGGTCTCCCAGAAGAGAGAGAGAAATTGTTGCGGATTACGAAAATGTGTTCTTAGCTGTAATAGAAAATATTTTTTATCATGCTAATAGAATTAAAAAATGTATAAATTATCTAGGAATATAATATAGAAATATTATTAGATACCTATCTATTGTGACTGTATTTTCTGCATATTTTATTATAGGGGGATATTTTGATCATAATATAATCTCGGATCTGCGAACATTTATACTATGTCATCAGTCATCCCGCAAGTCTGTCCTGGTCTCTGCGCCTCAAAATCCCATTAAACCGAGGCTCGTTCTTAATTTGGTTTCTGTCGTGATCTGCTGCACAAAGGAGTTCGACGTAAATTCGATGGAAGCGTAACTTCGGAAGAGAGACCGGCTCAAAAGGGAGTCGGGAGAAGGATGCAACTATCGTTTGTTCCCGTCTCTCGCAGCTTCAACGGCATATCTGTGTCTCCTCGGAGCTTACGCGATAGAGGTCTCCTGTCCCCGTAATGAATATCGAATTATTATAAAATCCTCGATATAGCTCGCTCTCGCTATAAAATTCCTTTCAGGCGCGATGTATCGATATATATTTGAAGAGACAGCTTCCGACCGGCTTATAGTTATTTTACAGTAACTTTGAAACTAATTTCCAGAAATATCAATGTCTTTGAAAGAGGAGAGATTATATGTATTAAAAAATGATGCCTCATAAATCGAAAGAAAATTTTCTCTCGTGGATTCATTTGACATAACTCTCTAAAATTGATCTCTATATATTAGGTATTAATAATGTTGTCGATGATACTACTAATAATGATATAAAATATTGAATAATAGACGGTTTGTTTAATAATCAAAAAGTGATATATTACGTGTTTGTGTATAAAATATAAAATTATAATATATTACGCTTGGATTGAATATTTAATTCAACAAATTACGTAAATTATTCGATGTTATTTATAAACAAGAGATCAGTGTGTATATACGAATTAATTTTAGAAAATCATGTTAAATTAGGGATGAGGGAAATTTATAATATTTCAATGAAAAATATCAGCTATACAATTGATACGATTTGCGATGTGCGCAACCATTATAAGCCACACAAATTTAGTAGCATTTTCATCTCTTAGAAGGAATAAGAGGACTAGCTTCTCACGCAGATAAATCGAAAGAAAGTAGATCGATCACCCGCCTCTTCCACATCGCACTCTGGTTTATATATGAGACCGACGACTTTTCTCTCCCACTCTTTCTCTGGTAACATTTCGCGGTGGGTGGTGCGCCAAGAAAATCGAGGATAACAGGGGTGGTTTCCGCGGTGGATGGTGAAAGCAGAAAAGAGAGCGCGAGATAAGGAAAAAAAAAGGCAGGCAGTCCGGGCGAAAGAAACCTCCGAGGAAGACTGTCGCGGATGGGACCGATCGTAAATTATTCCGCACGTTTAGAGGGTTAAGCGAATCGCGCACTCTTTTCAGTTGTCCCCATCGCTTCGTTCTTTTGCCTTACGCGATCTTCCATCCCTCGACGACGAAATGCGAACGGAAAGGGGTGAACGAAGGGTAGAAATCTATGGTGCCATTAACATGGCTCTCTCTCTCTTTCTTTTTATTTTTTTCGTATTATATTTCTCAATATATTTTGCATCTGTAATAATTCCAAGAAGAATTTTTTTATATTGTTTTCATGTTCGAGATTTTCTCTGACTCTGTGTCAAAAGTGCAGACAATATTTTACAGGTGATGTAGAGTTCAATTAACGTCGAGTTGCACGCGTCATTGTGTTATTAAGAAATATATGTTTATATGTAACAGATGATATATAAATATGTTGAAAATTAATTGACTGAAAATATTTGCATATTTCGGAGCGGCGCGACAGAAAAGAATTCGATAATCAGTCTTTCATGTATGAGGGTGATTTTGGTGTTATCGTATCTGCTCGCTTGATTGTAAATGCGCGAACACGCACCGATCTTATCAGCAGTCAGACGAAGCCGCGATACATCTATCGTCGCGCATACGCATGATTACGAAATTTTATTTGTCGCACGTTTATTACGATGCTCGGCTCGTCCCGATGCGTCTAAATGCATGTCGCGACGACGACATCGCATCGCGCATACTTTATATGATGGATTTGCCGTAAGTGATCCGCGTGGTACACCCTGATAAAAAGACAAAAAAATTGAATTTTTGCAAGGTGCTCTTCGCTCATCGTCCTTACGTAAACTCTTTCTCTCGACTGAGCGACGATAAAGACTAGGATGTCAAGTTTTATTTTTTTTCTCTTTCCCTCTTTAATTCCATCGTCATAAATTCGTTGAAAAATGTGCAAGATGACACACTGCAAGACATATTTTAATATCTATAGTATACGTTAATTAATATTGCTTTTTATTCGAAACTTTTATTTAGAAGAGCACAGTTGGATCGTAACATTTCTCTATTTTTTGACATATCGTATTTTTTAATAATAAATTATTTATGTGTATCGAGATCTCGTTCAATGAATACTTGAATTTTCTTTCATAATTTTCTCATGGATATTAAAAGCAGGTATCAGAGGAACAGAATTTGGACTGAAAAGAGATTCGCTTTCGTTGGTTCGTGCGGTTCGCCTCTTTACAAGAATACGTTTCAATGGCATTGAAATATGTGCGGTTTCATGGAATTTACAAACTGGTGCGAGGAGAGAATATTTTTCTCGATCAGTCGGCTGTATCGAGTGAAAATTGCGAGGAAAAATAGGGATATCAGGCGACGCAGTAATGTTTTCTTTTCAAAACCCAACATATCCGACAGAATATCGACAGATTCACGCCCGAATCCGCGAGACGAGCTGCTGAATACATCGAATGCAAAGGAGCAGCTTGTACAAGGGTACGAGAGGGAAGAGAATAGGGACAGGACGAGATGTGTCGGGTGATTTCAGATCGAGATTAAGATTGGATTTTGCGAGAGAATTCGACATTTCCCGCGAGCTTTTGATGCCCCTAGTCCTCAGAGAGATCGCGAATTAAAATCGAAGAAAGAAAATACAAGAAATGAATATCGAGTTTTTAATTTTATTTTCAACAGAGACTTATAGCTTGTAAAAATCTTGTGACGCAATTAATATTGTGAAACTTAATTTAATTTAGGGTAGATAAATAAATTTATATTTTTATATGAGAATTTTATAAATATTATTTTTTACGCATAGATCTTTTTATAATCTTATTCGATTAATTTTATTCAATATTCTTCCGTTGCTTCCATCTAGAAAGTATATAAAGGAGAAAAGAAGATTCTCTTTGCCAGAAACGAATCTCATTTTTCTTGGTGCTGTGTAAGATACAGCACATCATGTTACGAACAATGAAATGAAGTACTCGTGCAGTAAATCGAAAAAGACTGTTGCAAAAGTTCACATCGTCGATTTGCTGAAGAAACTCCCTAAGTCAATATAATTAACTTTATAACTGTGAGTTTCTCTTCGGTAAGCTGACGATAGATAAATATTTAAAATAAACCTGTAACAGCTTTCTTCTTTGGTCGAAAAAGTCTTATCAGTTGTTTTACTTCCTTTCGTTGATGTGAAAATATTTTGTTTACAACATCAAGTTTGTTCTAAAGTTCTGAATGCAAACTGTGCTAAATGTAAAAGCCACGGAATCGCAAAAATATCAAATATTACAATTGGGAGAAATGTAATCAATACAATGAAAAAATATAGTCAATAAATTGAAAATATAATCAATTATGTACAACATGTAAAATGCATGAATTTTTTATAAGAAAAAATATTTTTTGGAAAAATCTCTATACAGAATTTGTATCGCCTAAAACTGACAAGAAATTATTACATTATTAAAGGAACAAAAAAGTTAAACTTTTTTTTAATATTTTTTTAGACTTAGACATATTTAATTATTTCTGTGGCGAAGGGGAAAGTATTAAAATAGTCCAATGTGTCTTTCAAAGTAAAGGTTAAACAAATTTTCCAAGGAGAAAGAAAAACAACGTGAAAGGAGATAAATTTTGCAAAGTTTCGGAATTCATCGCGCGTTTATCTCATTTCTCAAAGTTCAATATCTCGCGCCAGAATCTGGAATAGGTTCGAAATTTTATCGTTACTATCGCTGCGTGCACTGCTACACATTCGATCACAGAAAAAAAAGGAATCCTTGATTCAAGTATATTTTTATTCTTGAACGCTATTTGATTGATTTAAGCATAGAATGCTCTTTGCAATCACAAATTTTCATTCGCCTTAATAATAAATAAGTTTGTGTGAAGTATATTTTATCCTTAAAATATATTCTTCTTTTAAAAATCATTATATAGTAAAAACAAACTTAGTCACACATTTGAACTAAGAATTATTATATATATTTGAAAGTACCGCTTATATCCGATGCACACTTGTCACTTGTCCTTGCAATATTTATAAGTAAATTTCAGCTTCAACCAAGAATATTTTGCACTTTGTTTTAAGGATAAATTATCCTTTATCCAAAATTATTTATATTTGGCGCTCTTATAAGAATAAAATATACTTGAATCAAGGCATATTTGCATTCTCTCAAGGATACTGTTTTTTTCTGTCATATTATCTACCCTAGATCGGCGCGCCAAATTATGGTTGATCCTAATTCAAAGATCTGTCATGACAGGCGACGAGGCGCGAAGCATCGATAGAATCATAAATTTCGACGATGATTCGAATTGATCGAATGTAAAGAAGCACGGGCGCGAATAATGTAGGATGGGTGCTCGGAAAAAGCTGAGTGGTAAAGAGTGAAAGAGAGGACGGCTGGTGGATACCCGACCGATTTCAGAACGAACCTAGCCAGACGCATATAAATTGGCTGCGCGGCATGAATCCCTTTACATTTTAATCGTGGCTGACGACACAGCCGCGTGTTGTCATGCTCTTCCTCGTTTTCTCCTCTCCGTCAACCATCTCCCCTTTCGAATCTCTCTTCCCGCTCTTTTCCATCTTTTCCCTACAAACACATAGTCGCAAAACGTGCAGCCGCAAACGCGTTCATCCGATGTTCGCGTATAAAATGTGCTTTCAAGTTCAATGTTAAAAAAAAAGTTTCACAGTTTTGTAACAAGAAATTATTCTCGTACGTCAAAAAGTCGATGGAATAGATCTGCTTTTTGTATATTTTTTTCTCTTCCTTTATTAATTTTCTTTTATCCTTCTTTATGTTTTCTTGCGATGTTCGGATGTTCGTTTTTATCTTATTTTGTAATTGTGCAAGGCTTCTTTCTTGGCGTAAATTTTTCGCTCTCTGTTCAATTTTGCTACACATTTCTTTTTATCTCTTCTAGTGACTACAAAAGTCTTTCCTCTAGAGTGCATTTTTGTATTTCAATTCGTAATTATGTAAATCCCCTCCCCGTGTGTGTATACAATGTATATTTACTGTATATACACACAATGTGGAACTTTTATCTTCTTTTAAATCTATTCTTTGAATAATCTATTGCAAGCGTGAAATTTTCTTCGTTTTGCTACATTTTTTTATTTGTCTTCATAACTATAAAGCTAAATCTTGACACAGTACTTTTATTCTCCTTTCACGATTGCAAAGCATTTCTTTTTTTTTCTCGATGTGGCGCTTTCGCTTTCTTTCTTATGTCGAAGACGCGTCATCTGCCGTCTTTCGATGGCATTTCGCGTTTCGCAAACAACGGCGGAAATACCCGACCATACGGTCGTGGAAAGTGACACGATAAAGAGAGGTTGGCGGAAAGAGAAGAGAAAGTAAAAGAAGCCGGAAGGAGAAAACCATGAATACCCTCACAGGATATGCCAGTTCTCAAAGGCTTTTCCATTTGCGACTCGTATCTGCCCTACGAAAGGCAAGAGCACGTTGAAACGTGCCGTATTATAATCTACAAAGAGCTCTTGTGGGTGAATTTTAACAAATATATATGTACATGTCGCGCCAGTATCTATATTAATTAATAATAAGAGTCAATAAGAGATGCTATTCGCGCGAAGACGTACATTTTTTATAGCAGATGAGATATTGTCTATAATTTTCAAAAGATGATTTTGAAGCGAAATAAAAAAAATTAATTATTTGCATATATTAATATATATATATATATATGTATATATATATTATTTTAGATGTCACAAATATAAAAAGCTTATTTAAATAACAAACTACAATATTTTATATTTTACCTTCGTTAATTTTATAGCTGATACGTCAATATGAAAGATGGAACGACACATCTTGCACAAACGTAAAAGACAAACATATCTTATAAATGCACACCTTGCAATGAAGTTTACGTAGAAAAAAGGCAACGACTGCGCTTGCGCGAATTTTGATCAACAAGTTATCTCACGAATGTTTTTCCGTGAAAAATAAACGTGCGTTACATTATATTTTTCTCCCGGCGTCAAGTCGATCAATCGCGTAATCGTCCCTTTTCTCTCACGCAATAACACGAAACGATTACGATAATGTTCTGTCCCTCGTATTGCATTACCGCGTTTATACTGAATTAGATAATTTACGCTGGAAAATGAATATTGAAGTATAAAAATATTAAACGAATATTAGTTTCTCCCTCAGCAGTCAAGTTGCAAGTGTTTCGATTATATTTTGTGCCCACTTATCTTACATTATCTTATCTCTATAGTTTAGGTAATTTACACTAGAATTTATCCTGAAAGACGGAAATTTCAAGATATTTTATTTTATTTGTTCTCTCAAAGAGAGGGGATTTGCGCAGGAGCTTCTTCGATCTTTTCGCTCAAATATATTTTGACTTTCGCACAGTGATGATCTGTATAAAGACTCATTTTACATTCCATCGAATTTTTCTGCTCGCGGTTGGGTTATGGCCTTATCAACAATCGTGGCTCGTTCAAATTCAGCTAATCTTGTTTTTTAGTATTCTGATTAGCTTTATTGTATTCGAGGTACGTCTATTCTTAAAATCATACTTTTCTTTATAACGACTAATCCAATATGATATATGTATATGTATTTATTAATAATATTAATAAAATGTTTGTATATAGTCTTAACAATCTTAAAATAATATGTATGATAAAAATTATCTTTTTATTATTTATTTGTTGTAAATTATATATGTATATTATAATTAATTAAAAAAAGGAAAGAATATATTTTTTAATATTATTTTTAAAATATAAACATTTTTATTGGTTGTCGCAATACAAATTCAATATTTATATCTGCAAAATGCCTCTCTCTAAATAAATTTTTAATGATTGTAGCTTACAATATTTATATCTGAAGAATGCACTCTTGATTTTGTCATCAGAGTTCTTTCTATCGTATTGCTGCTTGTTATGTATACAATTGAATATAATTCATGCCGCGTTAATCTTCAAGTTGTAAGTTAATTTCTATCGTTGTTTTTTACCCAATAATAAAACAATAATCTTTACACACAATTCTTTCCAAAATTGATAACATATACATATGTATCTATATAGTATATGTATAGACAAATATCAAAGTCTATATTTTGATACAATAGATAAGATCTTTATTCGAGCAACTTCAGCATATTTGTAACGAGTTGAGAGACGAGAATGAAATTGCTATCATAGAAAGATATGGGAATAATGTGAAACGTTTTACGGCTATATTATTGTGTAAGACAATATTTAATTAAAAATTATATTTAATAAAACATAAATAAAATGTTAATATGTCTTTCAGTAATGTATTTTATTTTAATTTTATTTTAATTTATTTTAAGAACAAAAATTATGTTATAAAAGACTGAACAATTATTATATTAATTTTGCTAAAATATTAGATAGGAATGTAAGCGCAGAATAATGAAATTAATGAAATTTAAATTATACACTATATGAGTTTTTGAAAGATTAAAAACAATAATTCTTTTATATATATATATATATTGTATTTTTAAAATATCTTCTTTTAAATATCGTCATTAAATATTTTGTTTTTTTTGTTTTAATATCTCTAGTGATTTTTATTTGCGGCACAGTTATTGTGTTTTTCATACCAATTTTTCCGCTCATTCTTGCTATAAATGTGACAACACAACCTCGTTTGATGCAAGAGCTCATACCTAAATATTTGATTGACGAACAAGGACATATTTATCTACTTTTATACATGTACGCAGCCGCTGCAATAGGAGCGACAGCACTAGTTGGAACTGGAGTACTGCTTCTATCGTATGCCACATACATCTGTGGAATATTTAGAATCGCTAGGTGAAGAATTAAATGTAGAAAGTAATTTAATAGTTTTGATTTTTTAAAACATTGTATGCTTATTATCATTTAAAATATACTAGGAAAAAAAAGAATTTAGCATGACAGTAAAATCTTTGTTGCTACTGCAATTTGGATATAAAAATATAATCATATATTGTTTCAATATTAGATTTAAAATTGATATTCACAAATCTTGTTCATTTCTGTATTACTGGCGAATTTTACTATAACAATTTAAAACGTGTATACTATCAGAAATTATTTTTTCGTGTTTAAGAAAATTTCAGTTAATTAAAAAAAAAAAGAAATTATTTATGCAGTTACCGTATCGAGAAAGCATTGACGATAAAGATGCCGGCAAATTTTGGTTTAAAGAACGAAATTATAATTTGTAAACAAATAAGTAATGCTGTAGATATTCATCGTAAAGCTATCAAGTTAGTATATTTACACATATAATGTAATATATATATATATATATATATATATATATATATAACATTTAATATACATATATAAGTAATTACATATATAAAACAATGTTTTATATTCTTTTTAAGGTTCTGCTTATTTTTATTATATAGCTTTCAGAAATCGCATGTCTTTGTGATAGCAGTTGCTGTGCTTGGTTTAAGTCTTAATCTTTACTCAGTGAGTTTCTCTCACGTTATAAAATTTATTTTTTTACAACGTATGAACAGTGTTTCACACTGCACGATATTAGATTACTGAAAAATATTGTTTTAGTAAAGTTATTGCTGTAAAACTATAAAGTTACACTTAAATTAAGATTGGCAATGTTGTGTTGCAGATAGCTGTAAACATACATGAAGACAATACTGAACAATTAGTATTACACTTTATAATTGCAGCAATCATATTTACCTACTTGTTTTTAGCTAATTATGCCGGACAAGAAATTATAAATCACAACAATCACATATTCTCCACCGCGTAAGAAATATATACATATATGTATCACATAACAAACTTTTTATTAATTTTAACAAAAATAAAACTTTATGCACATGCTTCATATAAGTACACTTAGGGTGAAAGTTACTACATTCCAATTATTAACTTCTTGCTATTACTTTCTAGATACTGCGTTCAGTGGTATTTTGCACCCGTGCCTGTACAAAAGCTGATATTATTTCTTTTGTTAAGGGGTAACAAACCTGTTAAACTGAATTTTGCTGGAACATTTTCATTATCTCTAGAGTTTTTTGCGACGGTAAAAGTTATTAGTTACGCATTACAGTTTATATTAACGTATTATCACATAAATATAATATATATAAAAATAATGCAAAAAATAATAATACGATACAAAAGTTTCACAAGATATATTTGATTTCAGTTAACGAAAGCATCAATATCTTACTTTACCGTTATGTATTCTATGCAGGAATAACGCAAAATCTAAATCATACAATTATATTTGTTACAATTTGTAATATAGGAGAAGTAGATATAGTATATACATATAATATATTATATATACAATATAGTATAATATAGTATAGTGCAATATGTAATATGGGAAGTAGATACAACCATGGAATAAAGTTATCAAAGATATTAATATCTGTGTCTTTAAAACTTTAAATTATACCGTGGATTAATTTATAAATGAGCAAGAAGAGAGAGAATAATATATTACTTGATTTGGATATTAAATTTTGCATTATCTCGTTATAATACTCTTCGTAAATTTTTGTGTTACATACTATTAATGTATATCAAGCTTCTATAATTGCAATTGGCAACTTGTAACATGTTTTGCATTTTATTCGACGAGAATAAATATCGTAGCATAGTAAAAGATTGACATCTTTCAGAAAGAAACGTATCGCATGAATGTACAATCGAATAAAATTGCTCGCGATGAGAAAAAACAAGTACGCTTGCGCAGACTTCGATTAACAAATTGTCTCAAAAAATGTTTTCTTGCGATATACATATAATTGCAGTAAATTTTTCTCCCTTGGCGTCAACTCTATCGATTGTGTAATCGCGCCGTCGCTTTTCGAGCGAAGACATGAAATTAGGGAGGGTTTTAATATTATATGATGCTTTTTGTCAGGCACTTTTTATTATCATTATACTGAATTACGCAATTTACGCTAAGAGTTGAAAATTCTATAATATATTCGATTATATCGATCCTTCGAAGAGAAAGGATATGCTGTTCTTTGTTACCTTCTTGCAGAGTCAGACGTACGTCGACTTTCACAAAGTGATGATTTCCATAACACTTAGCAATTTAATTCGCTTCGGATACTTTTGCTTACGATTGGCTTATGGCCCTATCAATACTCGTTCAATGTCACATGATTTTGTCTACTGAGAGCTTGATTAGTTTTATTGTAATTTATACATATATGTATGTAATATATATTACAAATGTACACACATATTTGACATGCGATAGACAACAATGCGTACATAAGATATTTCTGATTTCAATTAATGAAGGCGTCAATTACGACACTATTAGGTATTCTACACAACAAATAAATATTGTCCGATAATATATTGCACTTCATGACGCAAGTATAAGATGTAAATGCCTACGAAAAATTTCTTCGCTATTATAATGTATAACAACGCTGATTTTATTTGTATGCATTGAATTGTTTGAATAATTAAAATAAAATATAATTTTGTATAGTTACTTAATTTTAGAATATTTAATATAATAAATATTATATATATTGTATATATATAAAATGGTAATAGACAAATATGTTGCATGATAAAGATTGAATAGACGATTGATACGGGTAGCCGAACAAACAATGAGTCAACAAACGACGCAAATGCGTTTCCATTAAGCGTGCTGAAGCTCAACCATCGAGATCCGTTGATGTAAACAGGCGGAACTATGTATCCTTTCTCTCTCTCTCTCGTATCGCATTCACCATTTTTTTACGGGAAACGGTAAACGCGTTTACGATGACGATGAAAGAATAATCAGACGCAAAAGCGACCGATAGGAAAAAGGCGTTGTGTGTAAAATAAACTATAGG